CGGGGGCAGGGAGGCTCTGGGCCAGCTCCTGTGTTTGTGAGGGAGTTCGTTTTGTGTCGGAGGAGTTCCTAAGATACTTGCTGCGTTCGCTGTTAAAGTGTCTGTGAGCGTAGAGGAGTTGTAAAATTGGGGGCTTATCTAGACATCCCCAGAATGCGTGAGACTGGTTTCCTGTGATTCCCACCCATGGTGCTGGATGGGAAGAGATTGTCCTTTCTAAAATATGCTGCTTACTTTAAGAACACATTTAGTTACCCTTAAGTAGAGAAACGGTCTTAAATCAAACTAATCTTAACACGTCCAAAATGTTAGACTCTAAGATAGGCTTTTAATCGCGCGCTGAATGGTTATGTGTACTTCAGGACATAAGCGTGGTTGTAGAAGCCGGTGTGTTTATATGCAGAGCTGTCTGCTGGCTGTGTGTTTAGGTTAGTTCAGAACCGTAGGAGTATTTCTGCGGTGACGTTAGCCAGCGGGCTTAGGAAGTTTGTTCTGGTGCTCTCCGTGGCGGGATGCCTTGCTCTGCTCTTAGGCAGCTGGCCTGCCTGCGGCCGTGCTGCTGGTGTAGTCTATCCTGAAGATCACACCAAGCCACAGCTTCCTAAGCGTAAACAGAGGCTCAGGGAGCTAAAAGGATGCACAACAAAAATCTTAAAAAAAAAAGTAATTGTCTATATAATAGCTGGTTCAGTACTCTTGCAGACTCTGTACATATTCTACTGCACGTAGAAGTAGTCTACGTACGCTTCTGTAAGTTTTCTACACTAAGGTCTGTCTTTGCCATGGTCCTCTATGCTGAAAAATAATTTGTTATCCTAGAGACAAAAATAATTCAAAGCTTTTTTTCTTTGGCAAGAAGAATCAATTAAACAGAGTAACACTGAACAGGGCGGCCTGATGTGTCTATACTTCAGTCAAGTAGGAGAGTGCAGCTTACGTACATCTTACTGTAGTTAGCTTTACTTGGTCATCAAACTTGCTAGCTTGGATTTTATAACATTGCAGCATCATATCACACCTGCTTTGATGATATATATGCTAAGATTGGGCTGATAGAAGACTAATATGGCTTCTGCTCAAGGAAGATGTAAACCTGTTTGTAGCATTGTAGAGAGGGCTTCTTTGAGCCTATGGCTCTTTTGAACGGAGAAGCCTTCTCTGATGTAGTTGAACTTGATGTTTCCTGGGTCTCTCAGGTTATGTATGAGCTACCGCCCCAGTTTTGAAAACTACCCATGCTTTTGTGTGTGTTTGTTTTCAGGACTGGAACTAAAGCGGTGGATTAAAGTACATGTCTTAGTGCTTTCCTGAAAGAGATCTCTGGAAATATCTTTAGTTTCCTCCCTGATAAGAGAATGCTTATTTACCTTGACATCTTAGTTGTCTGACATATTCAATGTCTGTTGTCAGCTATGGAACGTTGTCTTGTTTGATGGTAACTGGTACTTACAATGTTCATGTGCTTTTATTGCTTTAGAATAATACCAAGTGATATTCATACGTTATTTATGCAGGTGACTATTACATGGTTAAGAAGCTGTTAGAAGAAAACAGCTCGGGCGAAATGAACATAAATTGTGTCGATGTGCTTGGACGAAATGCTGTTACCATAACCATTGAAAATGAGAACTTGGACATACTACAGCTTCTTTTGGATTATGGCTGCCAGGTATATAACGCATAAGTTATTGAAAATTTTCAGTGTAGTTAATTGATCTGTGTATTCTACTATTTATATATCTTCTCTGTTAATCTGTCAGAATTTGGAAGGAAGTAGAATCTGTCTTTCTAGGCAGTTCAGTTCTTTTTCCATTTAGTAATTGTGAAGGTGTTTTCTTCTCACTAATTTACTTTTCTAGTGGGATTTTATTGTCATGGCAAATGTATAAGTAACATTTTCAATGATATTAACAAGTCTGAATTTTATTTTAAATGTTATTCCTATTGCAGAGATAATGTATATACATTATCTTCAAGCAAAAGAAACTGTATATAGTCAGAGTACATTGTATTAAGAAGCATAGAATGCGGAGATCTCTAGTGGTGGAGTATAATAACTTTTAAAATGGTAGCACAGTTAGAAAGACACACATTATATTAGATGATTTTAAGTTAAGGCAAGCAGGCATTTCTGCAGTGCTTTCTTGTTAAACTTGATCTGTGCTGTATGACAGAGGCAGTTTCATCCCAACAATACTTCCTTAACTATATGCAACATCTCTGCTGCTGCTGGGAGAGTTGTAGCTATGATGGCTTAAGTATGTAAGGCAGGGAAAAGAAGTATCTTTTGTTAGGTTGTTTGATATTGGGTGGGGGAAAAAAACAACAAGCTTTCCCTTCCCTGCATCTGCTTTTTAGCGGCAATAATAAAAGCTGTGTCTTTTATTTTTAAAGTAGAAGTTTATATTTTCTAAAGTGAATGAAAAAGAATAATA